GAGGCGCTGCCCGACCAGCCCCAAAGCGGGTGCTGTCCTGCTGCTCCAGCGAGCTTCGCCGTGCTGCGGACTCCCAGGACGGCGCTGGCTCCGCAGCTCTCGCCTCTTCCAGGAGGTAGAAGTGCATTAGTGCCGACCACTGCAAGACAGCGGCAGACGCGCTCACAACACAGCCCTGGGCCGCTCTCCCCGTGCAGTGGCTCCTGCATGGCGGGGCCAAGGTCCCCATCCCACCCAGCCCGGCGAGGGAACCCCCGCAGCCACCAAGGCTCCAGCGGTAGCCACTCGCCACCCTGCAGGGCTGGGCCCGGGGGGCCGGGAGCCAGGATGCCAGGGGAGCAGGGGCCAAGCATCCCAACAATCCCCAGGGCAGAGGGGGCAGCGGTGAAACCCTTGTGCTGCATCCCTTTCCCCAAAATCCAACTCCTATAAGCAGCTAAAAGTCCCACCCCCAACACTATCACCACCATCACAGAAATTCTTCGCAGGCATTACTTCATCCTCACAAAGAACAAAGGGGGTTTTCTTTTTTTAAAAAGGAGAAGTAGCTGTAATACGTATGGGCACATCTAACGTCAGGGTTTGGACTGGAGCAGAGGAAGTCTGCAAGCTTCCCAGCGCCCGGCCACGCGGCCGCCCCTGGGGCAGAGCACACCCCACCGCCCGGCCAGAGCGACACCCCATGGGCTGGCAGCAGCATCCCCGGGCCCAGCTGCGAGGCATCACACTGGTGCAAGTAATAAGGAGAGTGGGAGGGAAAAGGAAGGGGGTTTTTTATATATATGTAAAAATAGAGGCAATATCTAAGGAGGGGAAGTGACTCAGAGGGTCAGAGAGGGAGCAGAACAAGTGGGAAAAAAACCCCAGAAGCAGCTTCCCCGCTGTCAAACATCCCTGAGGCACACCGCAACAGGGCAAAGCAGAGACCTCAGGTTAGAAAGGAGGAATTGGTGGTGGCTGGGGGTGCTGGGGGACGGGGGCTTGGGGGGGAAGGGGAGGAAAGAGGGCTGGAGCCCCACGGGGCAGCCCAGCCTTTCGGGCCAAATCCAGCAAGCTGCTTCTCCAGGCTCCAGCTGCCACCAGCTCCTGCCTGAATCGGGCACAGGATCCAGGCAGTGATCCCAGCCCACGTGAACAAGCGGAGCCCCCAGATGCCAACCAGCCCCACGGCTGCCCCACGCCCGGCCAGGGGCTCACCTCGCCAGCACCTGGCATCCTCAGTGGTTCACAGTGATGCCCAGCTTGATCTTCTCTTCGTTTTCTACATCGTAGACACCCCTCTTGTGACACCTGTGAGGCCATGCAAAAAAATGCTTAGAGCATGGAGAAGTCCTCACCACCCTCCCCAGCACATCTTCTTCCTGGGGTCACGGATCTGACGGCTCAGCCCCGTCCCACTCACCTGAGCATCAGCAGGGCTGCGATGATGAGGAGACACAGGGAGGACAGGACGACGGCAACGACGGCCAGAGCCGTGGTGTGGTCGTACGCGCTGGGGGGGTGCTCCACAGGCAGCGAGAGGCCGTGGCATCTCTCCCCATGATATCCCGGCTGGCATCTGGGCGAGAAGAAAAAAAGTCTTAAAGGTGGCGCAAGCACAGAAGGTTCATGGTGGTCGAGGTCACCAGGTTCCTCACACCCCCATGGAAAGGGAGCCCTTTGCTCAGCCTTCACCAGCACCCTGCCCGTTCCCCTCGCCCCCCCTCCCCGAGCTGGGACATCTGGTGTCACCATCACCTCCCTGGTACTGGCAAAGTTTCTCCTGCCCCAAGCACCAAGTGAAAACTCCTAGAAAGGTTGAGGTTCCCCCCCCAGTAGAAGGCACTGGGGTCTGTGCTCTCCCCAGTCGTCCCCAGGCAGAGCCAGGCTGCCCAGACCACCTCTGGAAGTGGGAAATCCCAGGCATGGGAGCGGAGAGGCAGCTGGACCAGAGCTCAGTGCTCCCCAGTGGGCAGGACATCCCCACACACCCTGCCAGCCAGAGCGCTGCCACCTCCCCGCAGACGCGGGGTTACTCACGTAACAGAAATAACGCTCCCCGGCAGAGCTGCGAGGCTGCCAGCCCTCCCCGTGAGTCAAAGCACGCTGATGCGACCAGATATAAATATCGCTCTATATCCAGCGCCACTGACCCTCAAGCTTATCTCCAAGAGGGGGTCTCAGCCCAGCCCTCCTGCCTGGCTCCCCAGCGAGGCT